AAAAACCCATAGATTTTAGCACTGTGTACAGAAAACATAGCACTTTCAAGTAGGAGATGACCACCTTAGATCATCTCAGTAACATCTTTCCAAGGGAGAGGGAAGGCTAAGAATCAAAAATCAGATCTTGCAAAACACATGCAAGACATCTTTAGCAGACATTTCAAGATGGAATGTAAAAACTATGAGGTTTATAATTTTAAAAGTAACTGAAATAGCATATTAAATGATATACAAATTCTAAATTTCAAGCTTGATTGGAACATGAAAAGGTTGAAAATATTTGACATCTTATTCTCTAAGTCATGTATGTGTTGTAATTATCTTCAAATAAAATTTTTATTGTCTTTTGATTGCTGAATTCAAGAATGAAATTATTTGGTCATATAATAATTAAATTCTACTCTAATGTGTAAACAGAACTAGTTAATGTGTGGATAAAAATATGCCCACAAGGATATCAGTTTAAAATGGAGCCTGTTTTTGTTCTTTAAAATTATTATATATATATGATTTGTTTATGTGTATGGTAATTCTTTGTGTGTATACAGTAACCACAGATGCCTGAGATGGATGTACAGTCACCATGAACTGGAATTACAGATAGTTGTGAGTCATCATGTGTGTGCTCCAAAAGCAGCAAGTGTTCTGAGCTACTGAGACATTTCTCTAGTGCTGTTTCTTTAAAATTAAATCATTTAATATGTTTTTTGTGAAATAACATGCAATTTTCAAGTACTTATAAACACTTGCATTGACATTCTATCAAAATGTAGCAAACATTTTTTTTGTGACTAAATTGGTAAATGATTAAAGATTTCTGTGAAGTTACATAGGGTGTTTGTTATTCATGATTTCCAAAAGTTTCACCTGATCCCCTCAGCTTTTTCTCTCTATAGTTGAAGCAATCAGCAGCTAGCATATGGTACATAAGACACAAAACGGAAGAGAGCTCAACTTCACAGGCGAGGCAGCTGGTAGATTTGACAGTTCTTTTCCAAATTGCTCATCATGTTTTGAATTACTGCTAGGAAAAAAAATGTGTTGCCCATCTCCAAAATAGATGTTCATTTTTATTTTTATGCTGGAGAAAGACTTCTAATGGGAAAATAAACCAGATGGTTATAGGAAAGGAGGTAGGTTTCCTATTGAGACCATTTTCATATTGTCAGAAGATGTTTCCAAGTAAACAAATAAATACCTCACTATTCAGAGTTAGCTTTGCCCTCAGATGCACTTCTGCTCTCCTTTTGAGTCTAATCTTAGGAACAGTGTAAAAAGTAAAGCAAAATGGTTTGGTGAATTCATTGTCAAAGGGACATTGATCTAGATTTTGTGCTAACCCAAAATATGACAGATAAGGGGACTCATTCTGAGACATTGGTGACATTTTAAATGAGTAATTGTAGTATGGTAAATATTTTCCCCCAGTGAGAAGTGCACAACTGATGGAGTTCAATTTTTTTTTATAGCAGAAATCTAATCAAATTTACATAGAATCCCAAAATGTAGTAATGCATTTATGCAATTCCAATTGTGATTTGCATGGTGTAATAAACATCTTGTCACTTTAAGACTCAATTAGATCTCCTAAGTCATCTTTGGCCACATTCTAACTTTGATGTTCTCAATAATTCCAAATTGGGCCTCTCCACAGAATACAAAGAAGCTTCATCTAGAATAACAAGGGGATGGTTTTCTGAAGTCTTAAGTGCTTCTGAACCTGAATTTGATTCATAATTTTCTTTAAAATTCTTTTATTAGAAGAATTCTGGCACTTCTCTCTAGATTATGTGTTTACTTGAAAATATATTCCTGTATCTGTATTAGAATTAGAAAGTAATTTTCTCTTCTGTGTATGATGTTTGTTTTAGAATACTCTTTATGATATCTCTAAGATCCTCAAAGTTGAAAAATACTTGTGTTTGACTCCACTAACACATTTGAATTATAATGAGTTTTTAACGATGAATGTAATTAATTATTTTCAGTTGGTGTCTACCTTTTAGCCTTATTCTAAAAGTTTCAATGTCTCCATTTAACATATTGAAAGTCATTTTAAGTGCTAATACAGGATCGTGACAGTCTAATCTCTTCATTGTGAGCCTTTCTTTTTTTACTAATCCAATGAAAATGTATCTAACTTTCAATTTCCCAAGTTCATAGCAGTTGTCACATTTGAAGTATAGCTCTTCATACTTCTGAGCACTGTCATAAGTCATTCAAGACAGATTTATGAAATGACAGACTTTCTCAGATAAAGTATAATGTGTCAAAAAGCTATTCTTTATTTCCAGTCCAATGGGAATTTAAGAAATTGTTTCAAACAAGGATAAATTTGGAAATAACTTATGAAACTCACTGCAGGTGACAGCTACAACTCAGAACAAGGAGCATGCTATGATATTTTAACCAATGCTTTTTTTCTTTGTTTAAAAGTGGCAAATGAATTAGCGATTGTTAACTGCTTTGTATTCTGAGAACTTGTCAAATCATTTTAGTTAAGTGGCCATTTGTATGAGCATATTATTTCTAACTACCAAAATCTGTGATTCTGTTTATTTTCTGTTCACTTGAAAATTGCTTGTTTCAATTGCAATATCTGAAACATTCTTTCTGCAATCATGTCTATTGACAAGTGGTTTCATCAATTTTTACATTGAAACTCAGGATCATAGTGTAGACTTTACTCATACTTATCTTAGCTAATACATTTTACTATAGTAAGTTTCAATAATGAATTTAGTTTTTGATATATTAACAGTACAGTTTACCTAGTTCAGAGATGCTGAGAGAGGAAATCTAATGAAATGGTCACCTAAGAGACCACCAGTTCTAGAATGGTCAGAAAAGGGTATCAACTCTAGAATGGTGCTAGAGTCCAGTATTGGATCTAGAATGATCAGACTATCAGGTCCAAAATGGTGTCTGAGCACAGCATAGTTCTAGAATGGACATATAAGGGACTATCAACCCTAGAATGGCATTAGAGCAGAGGATCGTTCTAAAGTAGCCAGGTAATGAAGTACTGGCTATAGGAGAGTCATGTTGACTAACAGCTCTCTTTTCTTTTTCTATGACATCTTACTCTTCCTTATTCTCTTATTATTTTTAAATAACCCTCAAGTGTAACATAATTATTATTAAAATATAACTAAAATTATAAAGAATGAGCATTGAAATTATAGTATCGCTGTCCTCAATTCACCAGCATCAATTCTGAAAAGTATAATTGCTTAAACTATTATATTTCAAAAATTTGCAATTTAAAATTACTTAATCTAATTTTGTAACTAATATTTTTTATTAATCATTTCAATCGTTTACATCTCAGATGATATGCCCCTTCTAGGTTCTCCACAATCCCCCATCTCATCTGCTCTCTCCTCCCTCCTCTTTGCCTCTATGAGGGTGCTTCTGCACTAACCCATCCACTCCTGCTCCACAGTGAGTTCAAGATCCCCAGTAGGGGCGCTGGTAGTAGGACTGGAGGAACAGAGGGTACAACTCCATAGGTAGAACAATGCCAGTTAATTTTGTATGTTAAGTGTATTTAAAACTGTTACTATGCAGAGCAATAATTGTAATTATAACTATGCTTTAGTCATAACTATAGTTTAATACTAATTGTGTTACAGTTGAAGGCTATTTAAAAATAATGAGAAAGAGGAAGACTAAGATGTCATAGAAAAAGAAAAGAGAATTGTTATTCTACATAACCATCCTATAGCCTGTACTATACTACCTGGCTATTTTAGAATGATTGCCTGCTCTAATTGCCATTCTAGGGTTGAAAATAGGCCCAGGAGTTAGACAATAATGGTTTGCAGAAAGTTTGTATGTATGGCCCATGGTAAGCTCAGTTCACTCTTGCAGATAATGTAGGATGGTGTCCTTCTATTACCAGATACCAAGGAATAAGAATATTAAGATATGGATCAAAAATTGTACTAATAAAATGCATCTAAGATATCCTCATTGAGAAGCCAAAGCTTTCTGGCTACATTTGATATTAATATAAGAACAAACTTATAGTAAGAATATGTATTTCAACCAAAGATGATGTTTGGGTAAATTAACATCAAATGTCAATAATATCAGGTCAGTATACTAAGAAGACATTTGAAGCTAGATAGCCCATTCACAAAATCATGGGAGTTGAATATGTTATTAAAATACTATAGAGAATATTTTTTAAAAAAATGCTGAAACTATTCATTTTTCCAGGCATTTATGCATCCGTATATTCATCCTACAATGCTTCTTTAAACACTTCATTGGTAAGATATGCAAAACTATAATTGATGGTCTTAATTTTGTTACAATTGAAGTATTTCATCATTAAAACATTGACAAATAGTTAGCACTTAGACTTCTGCAAGCACATGCTATTCAATTTTACAAAGCCAAAGCAATAATGGGATATTAAGCCACAGACACTAACTGTTCATGCCAAAGAACACAGATCTTCCCAATCTTCCCACACTAATGTTATGAATCCACTTTACAATGACATATAGCAAATTCCTATTACATTTTGTCTATGTAAAAATGCAGATGAGCAGGCACAGAGAGAGAAAACCCTGAAAAAATGAGGAGATTGATTGGCTTAAAATGAAGCAAGCAAATAAGAAATAAACATCTCAATTTAAAGTCTAGTCTTCTTTCTTCAGGAATGTCAAACATAGGTCTATACTTTGAGCATGTAATAAAAATTATAGTGTTATATCTTCCTCCTTAGGAAGAATTAAGAGTTTCCAAAATTTTAATAAAATATATTATTTGGTCTGAAAATTGACACTAACTCCTTCCTGCATTGAAACAAAAATGGTTTACTAAAGCAACCGAAAATCCAGGAGCAATGGTTGTAGCAGATAGTCCATCATGAAGCATTTTAACATGGGTGAATAAATATACTTAATTATGACAAATGCTATTATGCATGATTTATGAAGCACTGTGCAAAGCCATGCCAAATGGATAGAAGGATGGATACTTACCAACAGGGCGAACTGTAGACATTACAATGGTGTGGTGAGAACATAAAAAAGAAATTAAAAAAAGAAAAGAAAATTATCAGAATGCATGATGTGTAATGTTACATTTAAGTATGGACAATAGAGTGACATCTACTCTCATAATTCAGTTATGAACAAGTTTCCTAAGTCTCATCCAACTGAAAGAGATAAACATAAGTTTAAGGGAAAGGTTAGTTTTTTAACCACAGGACTAAACTAACTTTGAGAACTTAAAGGGATAGTTTAGATTTATCATCGTCATTTACTTTAGGTACTATTTCAAAGACTTCAAATTAAGGAGCCAAATGCTACCCCAAAGTTAAGAACAGACTAATAAAATATTCAAGCCAACATTTAGCAACAACATTTTGAAATTATAAGGTCTCATTGCCTGAATTAAATAACAATTGGATTTCAGGCTTTGCTTGCCAGAACCATTTCAAGAAGTATAGACAAGTGCTTGACACAACTTTTTGTAGGCAATAATTTAGAACCACTTTGCTTTCCATCCATAGAAATGTAACAATGTACCAAATAGGTTGAGACAGGCCATTGGATCCCAACTAGCTCCCTAACTGCTGCTGACTATCCATTCTTCTAGCGTAGGTGATGAAGCAGTGACTGACACGCTGATTCTTTCTCTTACTGAGCATGACTTCAAATAGATGCCTGAGATAATACATCACTTTTCAGTGTAATACCATATCATTGAATTATTAGTATCCATAATAATAGGCTGCCCTTTCTCTTAATGACTGAAATATTAAGAGACATACAAAAGTTAATATTTTCTTTTAAAAAATTTCAAATCAGTGTGAATAAAAAACCATTCCATATAAAAGCAATACATAAGCATTAGAAAGCATATGGTCCTTGTATACAAAAATATATTTTTAAGATTTAACAATATAAAATATACAATTAAAATAGAAATGTTTCCATCTAATAGGCCCATGGACCATGTACCAGCATGTATAACCCTGAATGATAGTGCATTTCTAGTGTGAATATATCTTGTTGATGTTGGCTGTATGCCTTATAGCTCTCCACTTAATTAACATAATCCATCATAATTCTGTATTTGTGCAATCCTTAAAAATAATAGTATATTTAGATATATATATATATGAGAGACGACTCTTTTATGATTAGCAGCATTTAAAGTTAGGAAATACTAACTAGGAAATATAAGTAGGAAAATCTTGCAGACACTGCCAGATATATATTTTGTGATATCTTTATTGTAGAAAAGTATTGAGAAGGGGCCCGATGAACCATCATTTCCCCATTTGGAAAACTATGGGCAGAAAGACCTGAGACTAATAACCAAGTAACAACATAAAATAGATATCACAATTTCTTCCTTTACTCTCGTTAATAAGTTCACTCAGTTGTGTCAATATCCTGTAGGAGGAAGACAGCAATTTTGGAATTCATGCTAATTTAACTGCAAAATAGAATTGGTTTTCAAATATACTTTCCTAAGAAATATTTCTTCTAAGAATATGATATGAAGGAAAAAGAAGAAACTATGTTAAGGAATCATGTTAAAATAAATAATATATTTTATATTCACTTTAGACTAATTTTGAAAATTTTTACTTTACTGCCTTGGGAAATGCCTAATAATGAGATACTTTTCATAGCAAGTCAATGAAGAAACTTAAAAATGAGGAAAATTGCTTGTATAAAAGAAGCTGCTGTTTTAACATCACAACCAAGAAACATTTATAAAGTACTTAAGTTCTTTGTCTTGATTATTACAAACTAAATTTCTTTTATTGATTTTTAAAAAATTTTATTTGTCAAGACAGCTAATGGGTCTACTTGAAGGTAAAATCATCTGATCACCATGCTTGTTACCATATTTTTTAGAATTAATCAATCAAACAAATAACTTGAAAAGACTTTTGTTTCAAGTGTTGATCATAAAACTCTTTAAAGCTTCTCCAATGGATTAGCATTCATATATTGATATAATATCCATATAATCATCACTATAAAACTACATGCCCTAGTTCCAGAGCAGCAGTTCATTGTAAAAATCAGCAGGTGAGAGTTTTCAAAATCGGCAAATGAAACTCAACTGCGTTCCAGTCTTAAATGGATTAAGATGGACATGGCCTCTGGGGTTAGTTGACCTCATTCCAATAAAGTAACCCCGTGAGAGGTTGACTATTTCGTTTATGTGCATAAAGAAACAGACACAGAAAATAAAAGTCATAATTTTACCCACATTAAACTTGTAGTGTGAGACATCCCAACTGCTTGTCTTAATGGGAAGACGTGTTTTAAATAACAATTTACTGAACCTTTCCTTGTTCCATGGTGATATATGATTATTATTTAGCTGTGATGTAGAAGTTGCAGTCTTCAATGAATGACATATTCATTCCACTGAGAAAAAGACACTCTGACTTATTTACATGCTACAAATCAGAGAAGAAACCATTTAAGGTTTGCTGATCTTAAAGAAAAAAAATAGTGTCACCTTACAAAACAATACTCTCTATCAGTTTTGTACATTTACTTCCATGCCCAAGGAATATAATATATTAGACACAAACAGCTAAATGTAACACTTTCAATGAATTGAGAATTCAATTAGGTGAGGAAGTTCTCAAAGTTCTCATTGCAAGTCTCTTTTGGCCCAAGCACTAAAGTGTTAACAGGAAATCTGTTTCTTCTCCAAATATCTCCTCACATGTTCTCAGCATTTGTTTAGTCAGCAAATAGCTTTTTAATGGAATATTTTGGGGTTGGTTATTTACTCTTTGTCTATACGTTTAATTCCCCCCACAACATAGCTTAGAGATGATTTTGTTTAAATGAATTATTTTTACAGTAGTCTATCTATTTAAGAACACTTCTTCTGGATATATGCTGTAGTTGATGATTTGTTGTTGGGAAAGACTCCTGACAATTGGAGTGTGGGGGTCTCTGACTCTTTTGCCTATTCTTGAGACCCTTTTCCTCCTACAGGGTTTCCTTGACCAGTCTTAACTATAATGTGTTGAGCTGTGTTCAGCTGATGTCCCTGGGAGATCTGTTCTTTTCTAGAGAGGGTTGAGGAAGGATTGGATCTGGGGTAGACGAATGTGGTGGATAACAGGGAAGGAAGAATAAATTTATCTAAAAATAATCCACAGAGTAGATTAGAGTTTATAATTTTATCTTGGTCTCATGAGTTACTATATTTTTTATTATATATTATCAGTAAATAAATGTGGTTTATAAACAACCAAGGTTATTATGTCTTAAATAACAGTGACAGTGTTGATAAGCAAGTGCTTCTAATCTTGTCTAAATTGTTTTTAATTACATTAAGCCTAAAATGAATGTAAGACAATACAAGTGGGTGGTCTGGAATTGGGTAAGAGCCATTGAAAAGAAGACAAAGCATCTTTATTCTCAAGGATACAGATGCATGCTTCCTGCTAGTTACCTGGAGACAAATAAGTGTTGTGGAATAAATTATTTTTTATTGCTTCTTTTTTGAACAGATAAAAGATCAAATTACAGATCTCTGACTGATTTTGTTCACCTTTAAACTCCTCCAAACCTTTTTCCTAATTTCTAAAACGTTTAGGAGCAAAGCTTACAAGGTCAATGGTGAGCTGCAACTGTGTTGCTCTCAATGATCTCTATGGAGAGAGGAGAGAAAGCAGTCAGTCATTGGAAGAAGCTTAATCATTGCACAGGAGATGTGCTGGTGTGTCTGTGCTAAGTTTCAACAATGCCGTGGCAATGCCTACTCTGGAAGCTTAAGTATCCCCTGTCTTTGGGACAGTTTTCTGTGCTTTGTGATAAATGAGTTCTCCTAATAGCCATGTTCCACCTGGAGCACAGTTATTCACTCCATAGAAAGTTAAGGTTTAGTAATGCTTTCTTTCACTATAAACAGTTCTACTGAGTTTAGAAACAAACACGAGCCTGTAACTGGGACCCGACTTAACATGCAGAAAGTTTATAAGCAGTGTCCTTGACCGCTTGCATTTTTAAGGCCCGTGAATTTCACAAATTGTTCTCTAAAATAAATTATCAGGAGGCTAGAGTTTGGTTACCACCTTTGAACCATCACTAGCAATTGCATTCCATTAAAATAGTGTGTAGACTAGTGGAAAAATATACAAAACTCCCTAATTTTAAACTGTTTAAAGGGATATAAGCTAATTCCTTAAAGAGATAAGCCATCAGAAAGCAAACATTTCAAAACTGACAGTATTCAAAAGCAGTGAGGTGATAAAAGTGACGGAAACAAAAGAATCATTTATATTATCCCAATTTTTAGGATGATCTTTTCTGCCATATGAACTATTTAGTTAATATGTTATCGTTAAATTTATAAGGAGATCAGGCTGGGGAGATGGCTCAATGGTTGAGTTCTGGCTACATTTCATGAGTTCAATTTCCAGCAAGCACGTGGTGGCTCACAACCATCTATAATAGGATATAATACCATCAACCATTCTTCCTTTACTACTTGAAACTTTTGATATTCAACTCACTGAGATGCTCAAAAGTCATTATTTGTTTGCTTCTTTCTTTGGGGTTTGGTTATTTTTCAGACACAGTCTAACTTTGTGTCCCATGCTGGCCTGTAAGTCTCTATGCAGCTTACAGTGGTCTCTAATTCATTACAGTCCTCCTCATCCCATGTACCAGAATTATAGGCACGAATCTCTGTATACTCCTTGATATGACAATATTAATGTCACTGGAAAGATACAAACTTAACACTTTTAAGTCATTATTTTATACCCTTGAACTTTCCATTGTGTCATGGTTGCCTTCTAAAATTTTATAAATTAGACACTACTGTTAGCCCAATATGTCAAACATGTATATGTGAAAGAAAAACACTAAATAAATAAAAATTTGAAAACTTCCATAAACTTTCTGAGATGATTTACAGAGCAAGTAGTTGAATGTTCAAGTTATTTCAGAAATATAGTTTGCCTGTATATACCTCTTGATCGGATTTCAGAATATGTGGGTGAAGGTATGAAAAAAGATTTTAGATTTGCTAGATAATCAAAGGCTCCCATAGGAAAAGATCTTAGCTTATTTGTGACTCTGTTTGTCAGTGTGTGTACTAAATACACATTGAAAGAACATTGTAATAACAAGATATTCAGAGTGAGGAGTATCATAAACAGCTCATCTACCCCTACTGCTTCATGATAGCCTACCCACCACTATTTTTACAGGGATCTCCTTCCTTTAAATAAGGACAAATATTATATATTGTCAGTATACTACAAGAAATGAGTCAGAGCAGGGAAGATTCAAGGAGATGGGATTGTACCAGGTGAGTCCTCTCCAGTCTGACAACCAGTGCTCTAGCCATTTCCCTTTATCTTGCTATACTTGTTCTGTCTGTTAAATGAGTAGATAGCGCTTAGCAGATGGTTAGTTACTATCAAGTATTGGATTATCACCACACAGCCCTAGAGACAAATGGGAAATCTTTTCATATCATTGGTTGTCAAAAATTTGGAGGCAGAGTTCATAGATAGATAACTTGATATATTTAGATGAAAACTGGAGATCTCAAGAAGCAGCTACTACTAAACATTGATTTTCAACAAAAAATGTTGGTATTAGCAAAATGAAGGTTATTTTCACATACAGATTCTTCTCACTCCTGCTATGTAAGGGAGGCTCATGAAGTCTTCTATGGAGCCATTGGTGTCAATAGCCCTTCAAATAAGTGAGTATCATAGAGTGAAACTGAGAAGTAATTGCTTAAAACCTCTCTAGCAATCATAAAGCCAAAGTGAAGACAAGTTGAAAAGACTTCACTTGAAAATAGCCATGTGCAAATGTTACTTGTGCTCAGAGAATGGATGCTTTGTATTCCCAAATTCAGTCTGCCATGTGAAGAGAAATGTAAGCCGTTCAAGAGCAATTTTGCCCCAATTCTAAGGCACTTATTGCTGTTCCTATCTGGATATGTAACCATCACTTCTCTGAGGAAAGGTGCATATGTTTACCATTCATCAGACTGAGTGAACTACTGAATGAACTGAGTACTGTCAGAATTAGTCTATTATTCTACTAATTGAGATTAAACTGAACACTAGTTCAGATCTGGTTAGTGCACGTGAAAATTTTTTTTATGGATTCTATGAAACAGAAAGTAAAAGAGAATAGAAGAAAGAAAAGACAATTCATTTAAACAATCTAATGATTTGGAAGACAAAACACCTGAGTATTTACTGTAATAATAAAGCAGTATAATATATTCCTTTATTTTGAAATAGTCTTTCTATATAGACCAGGCAGGCTTCACATCTGTGATCCTGTTGTGGCTGCTTCTCCTGTGTTAGGATACAGGTATGTGCCATCACACCTAGCAGCTCCTACTATTTTGAGCAGGCATGAACTTACCAACTGAACCAATATTAGGCTCCTGGCTCAATTTCCTTTGCCACTTTAAGTCTCTTACCTCGAACAGTGAGGGTTGCAGAGGATTCCACTTTTCCCACCCGATTCTCAGCAATACACACATAGGTACCTTCATCTGTACTCATGGCCTTCTTAATTCTCAGGGTATAGTCATCTTTGATATCATACCTGTGTGGAATAGGAGCCAGCATTATCAAATAGCATCAGTCACATAGATAATGTCAAATAGATAGTAATCTTTATTTATCTTTTTTTTTACTGTGTTTAACATACACATTAATCGATCATCAAAAATAGACCCATTTAGAATAAAATTACTACTAATAAGATAATTTTATAATCCACTACTAGTTGCTTGTTGGTTACCCATTCCTGTTTCATGTGTAAAGCTTTTTATTCTTTGAAACAATTAAAGGCAGGCTTTCCAGTTTGTCCTGTCCTTGGTGACCCTCCACTAATAAGGAAAAATACTATTCATTTCTGTTTTGGGTCATGTGTGTTTTATTATTTCATAAGTTAATCATACTGTGTTTAATCTGACTTACTTTTAGGCATTTTAATGTAAAAACCTTAAAATATATTAAAACAAAAAATTGTATCTTCTGTATTGGGACGTTAATAAAATAATAAAATGACTATTGAGCAAAAGAATAGAAAATAAATAAGAGAAGGGTTTTGTTTGTTTGTTTGTTTGACTGATTGTTTACCTGACTACCAATATGAACACTCAAAATAGAAAATAGAAACACTTGAAATAATTGGGAAATGTATAAACCAAACTCATTCAAGTGGTCCATTTTTTAAATTTAAAGAATAACAGATTGTTTTTAAAAAGTATACAATTTACAAAATTCATATAATTTTCAGGAGTTGTGGCTCCTTACAATGGAACCATACTCCAATTTTATAATTACACAAACAAGACAGTAATGAGATTTCCACTCCTACAAATCATTTTTTTCTAATGTTCTTCAAGCATTCTTTTTCCTGGTAGCTTATGGCAGTTTATGTTACTTTTCTTTTTCTATTACACAATCAGGCCAGTGTTTCTAAAAACTGTTTTAGTTATTTCTGCATGCTCAATACTTGTAGGGACATTCTCTTGTTTTAAGAATTAATACATTTTTCGCCTCTCTCTCTCTCTCTCTCTCTCTCTCTCTCTCTCTCGCTCTCGCTCTCGCTCTCGCTCTCTGTCTCTTTCTTTCTCTCTTTCTGACCACACACATAAACACACACACACACACACACACACTTTGTCACTCTCTTTCCTTTCTCTTTCTCTCATGCCCCTCTTTCTTCCCCCTCTTTATCCCTCATTTTTCTATTTGTTTGATTGATTCATTTGATTGATTCATTTTGGACAGAACCTCATGTAGTCCAGGCTCTCAAATTCACTATGAGCTTGAGGACCACTGGACTCTTGATCCTTTTGCTTGAGCTTAAGTGTAAAGTGGCCTCCACACCCTGTCCAGCTGGTTTCAGAGCACACTATAATTAATGCTTTCTACTTCTAACATTACTTTGAAAACAACACAGCAACAACAAAAACAACAAAGAAACTGCAGAGTCTATGTGACAGTTCTAATTTATAGACAGTGGCATGGTTAACTGCAATGTCTGTCTACCAATCATGTCAGTTGCTTGGAATTCCCAAGTTCCTCTATCTGTTAATCTTGAATGGACTTCTCTGTTTACATATTTACCTTGAATTTCTATTTATCATAGTTCAAGCTTTAAGAAACCCTTATTACTATCCATATTGGAAATCTTGCATAACTACACCAAAAAGAAATTCAATTACTCCCCACCTTGAAACATAGAGCATGTTAATGATTCTGTGCTACTTATAGCTTCTTAGTGCTTAGGAGTTTTTATTGTTGTCTTTTTTCAGGGAGGGGACATCTTTCTGTTGTATCATATTCATATGACTACTCATAGAACTTCTAAAATGTATAGAAATGACATAAAAGCACAGACTTAGGAACATACTGACAAATTTTAACATAAGGGCACTAAAAACTCATTGTGTTTCTAGTGGTGGGCAAATTATTTAGGTTCTTCATGTATGAATTTTGCCATTGACAAAAAATTATTCTAATAACAATGTCTATTTCAACATAACAAATGCCAACCAACTATAGCTTTAAAATATGTAAAAATAGCACGGCAGGAGGAAATCATAATTCATGTCAGCTATTTATTACACATTTGAAGAACTTAAGAGTTATACAATTAATGCCTTTTATTCCTGGTAATATGAATGCTATATAAATAGGAGTAGCTTCAAGGCTGGTAGTTTCCTATACCTACCTATTAGAATGGCTTATTTTTACAGTTTGAGATCAATTCTAAGCTAAGAAGCACAAAAGAGCAACAATATAGAGGTGCTGATTCAATATATTATATAACAAATTATAAATTATGTAAATACAGATAATTATAATCTCAGAAGTATCTGTCTGATATATAATCAAGCAGAACCATACATCTGAGATAATTTCACATGCAGAGAAGCAGTAGTTACACTTTCTGTTAAACATTTACTAAGTATGGAAACGACACAAAAAAACTTATTTTGACTCAGAATTCCAGATTATAGTCCATCATAGCAAGGCAGTCACAGAGCAGCAGGTGAAAGAACTTGTCAATTATACCCAGAGCCAGATGATAGCAATAGATAGATGTGTGCACACCAATGATCACTTTGCCTTTCCCTTGCCTTCACTCCATGTATGGTGATTTGGCAGGTGTTCCCACCTCACTTAGTGTAAAATCAAACAATTCCTAACTGAGACTCCTAGCAGCATAGTGGTGGGGGAGGGAGGTTATATATTGAGGCTCATGTGGTCAGGCAGGACTTCCAGTAGAAGAGGGCAGGACACCAACCCACCCACAAAACCTTTGACTCAAAATTTGCCCTGCTCACAAGAAATACATGGATAAAGACGGAGAACAGACTGAAGGATTGGCCAACCAATGACTGGCCCAACTTGAGACTCATCTCATGGGAGAGAGCCAAGCCTTGACACTAGTAATGATACTCTGCTATGCTTATAGACAGAAGTCTAACATAATTGTCTTCTGAGAGGCTCCATCCAGCAGTGAATGGAAACAGATGCAGAGACTCACGGCCAAAGATTAGGTGGATATCTGGGAGTCTTATGGAAGAATGGGAGGAAGAATTGAGGGAGCCAAGAGGAGTCAAGGACGCCACAAGAAGGCCTAGAGAGTCAACATTTCTTTTTAGTAATAGAATCCACTTTTCTGTTTGATATGTTTGCTGTTTTGCACACATGTTTTTTCGGGTAAATATAAATTTATTGTGTCGATTATTCTGTGTCAGGGTTTTGGAATCTTTAAAAAAAAAAACAGTATCCATATTCCCTAAACAATCATAACTAAAGAGCTTCATAATAATTGCTAAATCTATACTTTATTACATTTCTCTTATCAATCAGAGATACTTAAATTTGACTTTAGCTATCTTTAGTTAGTCTAGAATAAATTATAAATGAGTAGAGTATGCTTTGATACAAAGCCACTATTAGCATGGTAAAATTCTATATGTTTATAGAATATAGTAGTATGGCCTGTTTTAATTAAAAACAGAAAATGTAACAGATGAAAAGAAAAATATAATACCAACTTAGATAAGGACAAGTGCGTCATAAGCAGAGTCACAGTGAATTGTCCCCTGAACCTTCACCTAGCTGATACCCGGTTCTGAAGATATCTGTATTCCCCCTGAACACCCACACTCCAGTGTCATTCCCTTCCCCACATCTTGCCTTTTTGTGTTTATAACCCCTGTGTGAATTAATTACGATTTGAGAAAAAAATGTTATACAATTATTGTTTCATAGAGTTCAGCATTAAAAACTAACTAGAAACTGAAAAATAAATAAATAAAACTACACATAACACTTCTCCACTTCAAAAAAAAAAAAAGAAAAATATTCCTGATGAGGCAGTTTTACTGCAAGAGCGATGGCTTTCATTGTGAAATCTGCCTGATTTAGACTTACAAGAAGGCAGCCATTGTTGCCAGGCTTGATTAATGACAGTTGTACTATGCTGGGCTGTCAGTTGCTACCATGTATGTACCTTATTTCTTCTGATATGAACCACTGCTGAAAAATACAACCCAATCATATTTGGCCCCTGGACAACATGTGCTATCATCACTGTACCATGAATTCAGATTGATTGGTGACCAGCTGTGACAAAGTGGGCACTGAAGCTTGGTCTTACTGCATTATTTTTTTTTCCCCAAGTAGGGAGGGTGGTTTCTAAAAAAAAAAAAAAGGCAAAGGAAATTTAATTTAATTGTATCAAAACCATTACAAAATCATTACCATCTGTTAAGTGAAATAAAAACAAAACAAATAGATTTTGCTTTAATATTTAGAACAATAGTTTGTGTATAAGGTACTGTTCATGTTTTGATATTAGTACTTAATGTATAATACTAATACCTATGTTGAGAATTAAACTCTGGTTCTTTGCAAGATCAGTATGTACCTCTTTCAAGCCCTTTTACTTCTCTTTCTTTTTAAAATTAGGAAAATTTAAAAGTTTTTTTTTTCAAGTTATATTTCTTGTGAACCAAAGAGCTAAAAATAGACCTAGGTATTTTGGAGTATTTTGAAAAAGAAAATTCTGTAATTAATAGTCTTCTACATTCAGTGAAATTTTACTATGTACCTATATGTATTAAATATAGTCAAATGGGCTAATGAACTATTGCCTTGCTTTCAAACAAATATTTTTATTTAATATATCTCTTATTAATTTTACGGATTTATTAGCTGGTCATGACATAAGCATGTCTCTCTACTCTTCCTTTTCCTCCTACGAAAATAAATTCTCCCTTTCCTGGAAAAAGTTACCCACTTTAATTTTGAACGAAAACCAGATTGTTTAATTTTCCTAAAATTATATTGCTGCTCATAGATTCTTAGACAACACCTTTTTCATGAATAAGACTTTAATTTATTAAAATGAAAGTACTTATTAATAACCTAAATCTTAATTTGTAATATTCAACATGTATCTTGAAGGCAATGTCATAGATCACATGACTAATATAGGGATTCCATTTGGTAGTCAAAGACTGTGCCACTTCATTCGAGACAGAATGTTGTCAAGGTCATTTGATCTGCAATTAT